GGACACCAGTGGCCACAGTACAATGCCCCCATTTTACAGAATGAGAATGTCGAGGTCCAAGACAGTGAGGCACCTTTCTGAAGGTCGCTCAATGACTCCACAGGAGGCCAACACTGGAAACCCTATTTCTATATTCTAGGTCCTGCGGTGTTGTTTTCCAACTGCACCTAAGGGACGGTGAGTCACCTGGTGACTGTCCCAGAGGCTGGAGGGAAGCAAGTCGTATGTGATAAGTCTGGCGAGGTGACTTGCGTCCAGCAGGTGGAAGGCCTTGAATGTCAGATTAAGGAATCTGGACTGCACTGTGCTGGTGGCAGATGGCTTTCTTTTCTTTTCTTTTTTTTTTTTTCTGGCTAGGCAATGGGGGTTAAGTGACTTGCCCAGAGTCACACAGCTAGTAAGTGTTATGTGTCTGAGGCCGGATTGGAACTCTGGTGTGCCTGAATCCAGGGCGGGTGCTCTATCCACTGCGCCACCTAGCTGCCCCCTGGTAGATGGCTTTCTGAACAGAGGTGGGTACAGTGTTCCAAGCTCAAGGAGATCCATCTTCAGGAGAGGGGCAGACTGGGATGCACTGGTTCCCCCACAGCCCTGGGGATGGGCAGCAGAGGTGGCCAGGCCCCCAGTCCAGTCTGCCCCAGGGCGCCCCAAGCCCCGGCCAGTGGAGTGCCCCAGCTAAGGAACACCCCAGCCCTCCCACCAGCCTCCAGCCAAACGCCTCAGGTGTCCCCACCCAGTTCTAGAGACAAAACCAAATCAACACCATTGGCCCCCGGGATCCGCTGCCAACCCAACTTTCCAAACCAAAATAACCCTCCCACGGCACACAACACAGCCTCCATTATAGGAGGGGGTCTGCTATTCAGATGTAAACTCCTTGAGGGCAGGCATTTCCATTGGCACTGGAGCTCAGAAGAAAGTGGAAGCTAAATTTATTCATTCATTCAATCCAGGAAGGAGAACCTAGGACAGGTCCAAGGGGCCACAGAAGCCAGAAGGGGTAGAAGATCCATCTGGGAAGGGGAGAGGGGCGGAGGACAGAGGCCCTGAAACCTCTAGGGGCTCCTCCGGGCTTTTGTCTGTTTATTTTTATTATTATTATTATTATTATTTTTATTATTCACTGTGTCCACTCTGGGGAAAAAAAACAACCTGCCATTGGTTGTGGGTGAGAATCCTGCCTTGAGATCACGGCAAAGGCAACCAGACTGGACGGAATCAAGGACAAATTCTCAATCTACCCCACTGTGAACCTTAAGCTAACCACCCCCTTCCTCTGTCTGGGTCCATTTCCTTTTTACCATGGGGTGGGGTGGGGGTGGGGGTCTGGGTCTAAATTGCAGAAGAACTTGGTTCTTACAGCCGTAGAAGAGTGAGTGAGTGAGTGAGTGTGTGTGTGTTTAAAGTGAGAAGCAACAAACGTAGCTTGGTGGTCAGAGCACTGGAATGAAAGAGTCAGAATCCCTGGGTTCAATTTCCACCTCAGCCACTAGATTAGCTGTGAGTACCCAGAAGTCACTTAAACCTCTCAGAGCCCCAATTTTCTCATCTACGAAATGGAGATAACACCCTCCCCCCAGATGTTCTTTAAATCACAAAGCATTGTGCAAAAATGAGTCCTGATGACATTTGGTCCACTGTGAATGGCAGGGCCAACACAGTGGCCCGGCTTTGTGCTACATCTTGAGAGAAGATCTAGGCCCCACACATTGGCTTAAGGAACAGCCATGGGAGACAAGAAGGCCTTATCCCTCAGGACAGCTGGCCAACAGCCAACTCCTGCTGGGTCTGTGTGGAATTAGAACAGGGACCAGACAACAAACACCTATAAGCAGCAGGAAGGATTCCAGACTGCAGCTGACCCTGTCCTCAGAGGGCTTACATTCCCTCCCCTCCACAGTCTTCAGGCTGGATTTTCTGGGTGGGAAAAGATTTCTCCCTTTATCGACCAAGACTCTCCCCCTCCTCTTTCTTTTTAGGCTAGGCAATGGGGTTAAGTGACTTGCCCAGAGTCACACAGCTAGTAAGTGTTATGTGTCTGAGGCTGAATTTGAACTCAGGTCCTCCTGAATCCAGGGCTGGGGCTCTATCCACTACACACCACCTAGCTGCCCCCTATTTTTTTTTTTAATCTAAAAGGTGTATCATTCTTTTCTCTGCCTGGTCAACAAAGATCATAGCTTTAAGGCTGGAAAGGAACTCAGAGATTATAACTCAATCCCCTAATATTACAGGGGAGAAAACTGAGGCCTGAAAAGATGAAGCAGTTTCCCCAAGATATTAAACAGCAGAACCAGGCTCTGAAACTAGGTCGGCATGATGCGGTGGGGAAAATTCTGGATTTGGGGTCAGAAGATCTGGGTTCAAATCATGACTACTATTTATTATCTGTGGGACTTTGGAAAAGTCACTTCCCTCTGTAAAAAGAAAGATATTAGAGATGACCTCTAAGGTCCCTTCCGGCTCTAAATCAATGTCTCTCAAGTTCAAAGGCTTTCCCACCCCATTACCAGATGACCCCTTTTAGGAATCCTGGGGTGGGGGAGTAACAGTGAGAGACTTTCTAAGTAGTGCTGGTCACTTGGACCACAGACAGGTGGGAAAAGCCTTTATAAGAATTCACTCTACTGGGGGGGGGGTGTTTTGTTTGGGAGGGGGTCACTCCAGCTCCCAGACTGTCCTGCAAGGGCTGTACCCTTCAATTTTTCCAGTTTCTCCCCAGACACCAATCTCTTAACCCATGAATCCCCTCCCCCCCCCCCCCCCCCCCCCCC